ATTACTATAACTCGAAGCTTCGCAAAATTGAGAGAATAGCAGATGACAACGGTGACAATCATTTTCTATCAACGAGCAACAATTATACAGAGCTACGCAACCGAGAAGTGATCTACGACTGTTTTACTCTGTATAACTCTGTGAAAAATCATTTTCGGACCTCGGTTCACAGAAACTTTTCTCATCTATCCGAAACACTCTGTGCATTCATTACAACGCGTAACTTCATGTTCGTCTAGCACGCGTGTCGTTTCGCTCGAATATTTTCGAGACACGGGACGTTCGTTCTTTTATCCGTCGAGTCATCGCGGGCTACAAACGAAGTCTGCGCCAGCCAGCCATCCGAGCCTCGTTACCGAACACCATGATGATCATTGTCACCCCCCTCCTCTATCTCTGTGCTCGAGATTACAGAGGAACAAAAAAAATCGAGAAAGGGGGAAAAATCGTGTAGTGGAGGAGAGAGAGAGAGAGAGAGCGAGAAAGAGAGAGAGAGAACGGATAGATTTATCGTTTGTAACAGAGAGCGGAGCGACGCGCCTCGACCCATCGTTTTTCCCCGTTTCCATCAAACGAAAATGATCCCCGGTGCAGACAATGCTCCGCGAGAACACTCGGCTCGAAATCGAGGGCACTCAGAACATGCAAATCCATAATAATCTCTTCGCGGCTTCCGCTCTTTGCCTCCTCTGTTCTAATGGCGCCTTTCCAGGAACCGTCGATGCAGAACTCGCGGGTAACTCTCGGAACCCGTGGATATATTGTTTAAGAACCCGTGCGCCAACCCCTATGGGGGATGCAACCACAGTCTCTCTCTCTCTCTCTTTCTCTCTCCGACTACGCTAGACTGCCTTCGGTTTGTGCATCGTCGAAAATTCTGCCTCCACTTACACGTTTCTTTGACATTATTGTTTTATCTTTTTCTTCTAAACTCGTTTCGTGTACCGTGATGTTAAGGAAATAGCGAAAACGTATGGAAACGTGAAGGAAATTTTGAGCTAAATATCTTTTATTCTTAGGACAAAAGCTCGACTCTTCTGTGTCCCAATTTCGAGTGCTCTACTCATCCGTCATTCCACAACCACGATTTTCCCTTGTTCTCGAAATATCAACCGAAATCATCAAACTTCTACTCTAAGAGGTAAACAGAGAGCTTCTCTGATCCTCCCATTAGTTACGAACGATCAGAATTTCCACTCCGTCCACACCTAAAATCGCACCCTCGATCATCCGAAACCGAGCTCTCTCCGAGTCGACGACGAGTCTCGGGATGCAACACGACCTCGGCCTATCTATAATTACCGTCCCGAAGTATTATTCCAACAAGACTGCGAGGTAAACAAAGCCGCGGGAGAGGAAGGAGGAGGCGAAAAAGGGTCGAGAGCGAGAGAGGAACACGGCCACGAAGAGGAGAAGAGAAGCGCATTCGGTTCGGTGTGCGCGCATGGAAGGCCGATGGAACGCAGCAGGACGAGAGAGGTGGGGTGGAGGAGGAGGTGGTGGTGCAGTGATCGTGATGGAAAGGATGTGGCGGGAACTAAAGGGGTGAGGGGGCCAGGCTGGCAATAAACTTTGGCGCGAGGAGTGTGGCGCACATGTGCGCTCAGGATATGCATTCGAAAAGAGTGGAACCGAGTTCTCTCGAAGCTTAACACTCTCTCTCTCTCGAGTACACGTTTCTCCTTTTCTTTCCCCGGTGGTAGCAAATTCAGAACGAATTTTCACAGGATTTCCTGCTACCGTCAAACAAACATAGAATTCCAATGAAAGAATCCTCTCATTCGGTATCGTGACATTCGACTGTTTAATTCAACAGTTGTCCTCAGCTGTTCCGATTAATCAGCCTTACCGAAACGCCAACCGGTGGACCGATAAAACGGGAAGCTTTACGACAGCCGGGTAATCCGGGACAAATTCGTGTGGAAGATTTAGCGACACTTTTATCGCGAGAGGACGCGAAGTTGTTGGTGCCATTTCGGATAAAACTTTCGTTAAACGCTCTCCGGGTCGCGCCGGCCGCAGCTATTTGCTCGCGATGGCGATCAGCGACCGTGCGAGATACGCTTTTCATCGCGGCGCGATAAAACGAGGATCTTCGAAACTGGCTGGCGGTATGTCGCGTGCGTGAACCAAGTGCGTGTCGCGTTATTTATAGAGCCGCGTAGCTGACAATTTAATCGTCCCGTGCAGTCGTGTGAATTGCTCCGATGCGTACGCTTCGGAGTTCGCGTCTTAATAAGTTCGCCGCTTCTGCACCGCGATATGCGTCGTCTTCTCCTCCTCGTCTTCGTCGTCGTCGTCGTCTTGCACGTTCCCTGGAAAAGGTCAACGGTCTTCCTACGTCTTCTCTCTGTGTGTCGGGGGACGATCGAGATCGTCCGTCCGCGGGCCAGCCTCCGGCGAAGAATTAACTCTTTCATGGTCGAGCACAGGCCGAGTGGAGAGCGTTTCACGCGGCTGCTGCAACCGCCGCTGCCGAAGTATTAATTAAGCGCGCGCGCGTTCGCGAGCGAGCGAGCACACTCTCGACTGATTTATCACCGTTTACCGCTACCCGTCGTCCCGGCTGTCGCGTTGCTCGCGTTGCGGATTGTCGAGCCGCCGTTACGACCCATTTTCCTCCCGGGCGTCGATAAGAAATCGACCGTCGATCGTGGAATGCTCGATCTGTTGGAGATCTTAATGAAACCTTTGTCTTTCATTCGAGTATGTGTCACGTCTGCTAGGAGAGTTTCTTGAATGGATTAACGAAGGAATACGCACTGTTGGAAGAATTGGGAAACCTGTTCAAATTTTTATTCATTTTCAAGCACAAACTCGAAAGCTTCTTAACCCAGTTAATAAGTCTCTGAATTATTGAAGTGTCTCACAATAAGTAAGATAAAGCTAGCTCATCTTCATCGGTGCAAAGTTTCTACTAAAACCCAATTTATTATCATACTAAATACCTCTGACCCCACACTCACATTCACTTCGAAGCCTCGCTAAAAAATTCTCTTTCACCAATCATACTAAACCCTGCACCAAGGCTGCAACAGCCTCACAGTACCTACCTGCCATGCCTATACACTTCTCTTTTTAATTCCCCTGTAATCGCACAAATAGCACGTTCACCGAACTTTCCGTTCGAAGCCTCGAATACACGTACTTACGTGGTTTTATGCGCGTTCGCGGATCAGGTGTCGCGGCCCAGGATAATGCTCAGGTGTGTTAGCCGATCGCCACGCCGCCAAGTATTGTCCGGTACAGAGACTATCGAGTTCTTATCGCGTCTCGATAGCTCTGCAATGGTACCGTGTGTACGCTGTACAGAGAGAGCCGGCTACGAATTTTTTCTCCTCGCGAATCTTACGACCCTCTGCGCCTTCTGGCTGCTGCCCGCTCGCAGGCCTCTGCTGTATCTCTCCATTGCCGGAGAGAGAACGTAAAACGACGCAACGTCGTATCTATCTCACGCTAGGTTCGAGTTAATAGCGAGAACGGCTGTGAAAGAAATAAAAAAAGGAAGGAAAAAGAATCGGTTAGTGGCTACCGCGTGGCCCGTGTGTACAGGGTGATACTTTCTCCCCATAAAATAATGGCGTTGCCGATCACCTAAAGATGCTCGTCGTTCGACGATGATAAGATCTGTAAAGGCCGTAAGGGAGAGAGCGAGAGTGTGCGCGCCTCGGTGATGGTAACTCTGGATCGAGGTTCAGAGAGCGGGCAGATCGAGACGAGACTCGCGAAGAGAGAGACGATACTTATCAGTTCGAATCCTGAAAGCAGGTTTCTACCTCTCGAAACGATCGAGTTTCGCGGAACGGGGACCAGAGCAGTGTCTTGGCCAGGCAGGACAGGATCCGCCTTCATGCGGATCGGGATAGAGGCTGGCTGGCTGGTTGGGCCTACTGCTGCCGGCAGCCCGGACGGAGATGATCGGTATCACTTGGCGGAGCAGTCCTTCGTGGCGGATTCTTGTTGCTCGCCGCGATCCAGTTTCGCGGAACGGATAAACTCGAAGGGTTTCTCTTTGCCTTCCTCGCCGTGTCTATTTGGAACTTCTTCGCTTAGCCCTTGAATGAGTGGACGTTCGGAAAGTGTATAGTCGGTGGAAGCGATATACCGAGATCGTGGATTGAAGCGTTAAACCGTCGCACGGCGGTGCCTGGGTCCGTTTTGACCCGAGTACGTTGCTACGCGATGGAAGTCACTTGTTTATTTCTAAGGAATTCGTAAATCATAAATCCAGCGAAATAGATCGATGCAATTTTTCATTAATACACTGTACATTTGTATTATTCGTTTGTCACTCTGAGATGGTGATAGAGAAAGTGTTGTAATTTTGGGGTGTATGAAAATTGAGAATTATGGAGTCGAAATTTTCCTGAGTAGAAAAAAAGAGCGAATCCCCTCAGTCACCGTTGAACCAGAACCAACCCTGTCAGTCTAATAAGCGCTAAACGAATAGTGTGTATAGTTACCCTTGTAAATCAAAGGTCTAAAGAAACGAAATACCCCTATTAGCTCGTATAAGGTAAAGTTCCTATATCAATAACCTTCTATAAAGCAATTCGTGTCGCTTCATGGTCTCTCGAACGAGTTCTCGAAGTCTCTTCACGAGGTGCGCACGAATTATATCCATTAAACGAGAAACTGGTTTAATGTAGACGTAATAACGTGGAAGATGTCGCTGCCAGTAATCTGCGCTCCGTGCGAGTAGCTGCGTCTAATTACCATGGGGGAATCCGTGGATAGGATTATTCGAATGCTATTTACGAGCGGATAAGCGTGGAAAAATAAATATGTCGATAGGCGAAACGGGACGTTGCCCGCGTTTGGCTGGTTCGATTTTTCACGCCGTGCCAACAACGTCTCTCCCCGGGTTAACGGGTTGTTGCCACGACACAGAGAGAGAGAGAGAGAAATCGTCCAACGATTCGTTTCTCGTTAATTTTCTAACATTGATTCTGACGTGCTAACCTGTGCTGTCTTTTTTTCTGTTTTATTTGGGGAAACAGGTAAGGTGGATCCGACGCCACATACCTCGTCGTTCAACATGGGCTACCTCGTCTCGCCGTACCCCTACCCCAATGGCGCCGGAGGACCCATTCCTGTGTCTATGGTGAGTGTTTATCATTTTATTGTTTCCCGTATCGTTTTACCTGTTGGAGAGAAAAGAGCTCAAGGACACGGAGCGGCAAGCCTTCTGTTCCATGCGGGGGACAACGACGATTTCGAAAGTTCTCTACGTAGACTTGGATAGAGATTCATTTGTGATTTCTATTAAAACGAAGCGTAGAAGTGAACGGGTGTGTTAAGGAAGTTCTGAAATTTCTTTTTACGATCGTAGAGAAAAGGTTGACACGGATGTGGGGGAATCTGTATGCTAGATACAGAGGGACAGAAAGTTATAATTCTAGAGCCTATTAGAGGTTTAATCACGAGGAACGCGCCAATGTCGCCACTTTCCTTCATCCGAGAGTCGAAGTTCGAGGCGTTCTCCGCGCCCTTTGAGAATCGTGATTCCCGTATTGATTTATGGCGGCCACAAATTGGATTCACGATTTATTTACGAGCGAACGTTCGCGCGTTTGCGGGGCCCGATGATAAAGTGCCGCTGGAAACGCCGCTTAGAATTGTTTCTCTTTCCGCGACGCGTTTAAAACGATTAATCGCGATCGTGTATTTCGTCGTAACAGCGTTCCTGTTTTTTTTTTCCTCTTATTTTTCTTTCACACTTGAAGGTAAATTCCTGCGTCTCGATATGTGTAGCGTTCTATCGAGATCCTTTGGGTCTTCATCTGAGAATTGCAGCGAATATTTTAGGGGAAGTGGAAGGGGTTAAGCAAGCAAAATTTTTATTCCCTGGAAGACTAAAAAATCTGAATATTTTGTGAACATATCCACTTGAAATTGATCATTAAGATTTGCTTTCATCCTCCATTCGTTACACGACTGAGAAATAATTTGAACGAACTGAGTAAAGAAAAGGAGTTTTTTTCATCTCTGAGTGGAAAAATGATCGAATTTGTGATTTCTCATTCTTGAGACACCTACGATCAACCCCTAAACATTGGTCCATCAGCATTTTCCACCCTATGTATCCTATATTCACCATCGTTTATCGAACACGGGAAATCGGTCGTGCTCGAGAGAACTTGTTTCGCGAATGATTTACATCGAAAGTACGTGACAATAGCGATTTAACGAGGATCGGCGTGATATCGGAAAAAGGGGGGGGGGCGTTGTACACGTGTCGACGTGATTCTCTCTCTCGTTCTCTTTTCGTGTGCATATATGTGTATGTATCAGGAACGGGTTAAAAAAGCCGGTTAAAATCGAGAGAGCCTCACCCTCTTCCCCCCCCCCCCCCCTCTGTCTCTGTTTCTCTCTGTCGTTGTGCCGCGCGTACGTTCAGATGAATGAAATTTGCAGATTCACGTGTACACGCGAGCGAATAGCATTGTTGCGCCGAATGGATCCGCGGATCTGTATGTGAACACGCGCATGCACCGGCGTGTTTGGACAGACGGCTAATTTGACTGCGGTGAAGCATGGCGTCGCTAAATAGTGGGCAAAATTGGGCCGATTCGGTGTTAAAGAGAGCGTGCCGCCGCTGTTACCGCCGATCTCTCGCGTGTATTTCCTGCTGCTGCTGCATGTCGCGTTTCGAGCGACATGCAGCAGCTACTACTCTTCGTGAACCCGTTCTCTCTCCTCCTCCTCCTTCTCTTCCTCTTTCTCTTCATCCTCACGGTCGATTCTTCACGCTCGATGAACCGCCGCCGCCGTCGCGAGACGAGCATTAATTTTCCGCGATTCGCCTCGTATCGATCATGGTTAACGTCGACGATCGTGTCTGCGGAGAGCGACGAAGTGTCGGGAGTAATGGTACTGGTTTCTTCTTCGTTCGAAGGTGGAATAGGTTTTTCGAAAGGGCAGGCTTGGTAAGCTGTGATATATGGATCGTGGTGATTAGTGTTGTTTTAGTCGAGTGTTGCTCGTGGGAAGGAGAATTATTTTTGTCCGGTGATTATTTAACGGTTAGAGTGGTATTTTGGGAAATCTTGGCTCTTTGTGTTTTACAACATCGTGTCGCTATATGTATATTTTTATACGTGGAATATAAATTATAATTCTTTCATCCATAGACTTCGCTACATTCAGACTAAAAATTTGTTTCTATCAATTAAATGTAGAACAGACACCAGGGTATTTTTATGAACAAAATATAGATAGGCAATAGTTTTCCAAAGTATCAAATTATATTTTCTGAAACATCACGAAGAGAACAGTCCAATCACTCGAGCCAATTCTCTTCACTCTCGTTACGTCAGAGCTAATTATCCAGAAACTGGTTGGTTCGTGTCCGTGCATCGGTTCCTTAAAACCCGTTCGCCGTAGCCAATGCACTTTCCGTGAATTTTCTAATGGAATCACCTGATCGTTGGTGATCTGGTGATGAACCGTAAATAAAATTAGACCGAGTCGCCGATAAAGGGTTGCGTGACGTAGCCAAGAACTCCGAGAGTGGCTATTGAGCTCTCTTCAACTGGTCGGAACTTGATGAACCACCGGCCTACCCAGCGATGGTCAGCAACGCTTCCGACTCTTCGCCAGTGAACACACACACACACGCATCTCTCTCTCTCTCTCTCTCTGTCTTTTACTTTCTTCATTCTTTAAGTCTTTCTTTCTTGTTTCTTATACCAAGACTCTGGAGAGCAACCAGTCTGGTTTTTGGCCCGTACCTTGTCTTGGATTTACCTACCTCGGGCACTCATCTTCTACCATGTCATTATGTCGTTATTTCCGACAACGAGCGTGTCTCGACGAACCCTCGTACGCTTACCTCGAACAGAAATGGGCGCGAAAGCAGTTTCGCCCCGAAATCCGACTACAAACACGGCTCTTTTGCTCGTGAATGAACTTCGCTGTCGCGGCCGATCTTTTCGGAATAGAGGAGCCACAAGGGATCGTGGATGATCCGTCAATGGACGCTCCCAGTCTGATTATTTGCTCTCTCTTCTTCCTTTACTTTCTCGCTTAGTCCTCTTCCTTCTTTCTTTCTTTCTCGTTTTCTCTCTCTCTCTCTCTCTCTCTCTCTCTTTCTCTCCCTTTTACTATCTGGAACGTGTACGAAGAGAGAAGACGACCGGCGGCCGTCGCCTCTCTTGGCTCCGCTGACTGCCTCTATTGTTCTACCACTTGGTCATTAGTTTCTTTAGACGTAATCGTCGGAAGCGCGGGGTTACGCTGCTTGGAATAATTGACCGGTTCGCGATTTCTTTCGTTAAGTGGCCGGGTATTTGCTAAGTGTTCTGCCACTTAGGGACGTATGTTACTCGGCTGAAAACGGGCACATCTGGTCTCGTATAAAATTTCAATTTTTCTTTCATCCGTGGTATTTTTCATCGCAGAATCCGCGTCACGACACGTCAGATCGTATACTTTCGATTTTTATCACGTTCAATTTGTATTACCACCTCTGTTAACTCATTGTGTACGGGTCACGAGATACGCTTTATCTTGTTCAGCAAGCTAAATATTGAAGTTGAATCACGAGGTGTCTTGTTCCTACACTTCACTGTAATTGCACACTGATGTCTCAGTTGGTGAATAATTGTCGAGGCAACGATAGGAGAAGAATTTTTTCAATAATTTGTCGAGTAACGTAAATTTCTAGAAAAAAAAAAAAAATACCGTCGACAGACTCACTCTTGATCTCTAAAGATACAATTAATTCTTACACCTGCCTCGATTCCTCAGGGTTAACAAACCTTCGTTTCACGTCGTATCAGCGATGTACTATTTTGGTCTCCAGCAACGCGACAGTTTTAAACTTCGTAGATGACCTATCGCGTATTCATGTCTCGTAAAAAGCGTTCGGTTTCCCAAGGTGTTCGTGAGCCGATTAGAAACGCGTTAACGACACGATGCCAAACGATTTAGACGCGTTCCAGAAGGAATGCACGGTGGGGACATGCGCTATCTCGACCACGTGCGGTAGCAAGCGTCACGAGATCAAACTGTTCTTCCCGTGGGACTATCAAGTAGCTTGTGTGTTCGGGCTTGCAGGTGCGATCTTCTGCTGATTAAGCACCGCGGTGGCGACAATTTGCTAAACAACGCGTGTTCCGCGGCGGCGCTCTTTGCGGAATACAAAGTGCCTTGGCAACGCCTTTGAGAGGTGCACCAACCCGGGGCTTTCGTGGCCGGGGCTTTCGCGATAAAAGGCCGCGCGTAAAATGGCAATTAGGTGACCAGGAATCCGCTGGCAGATTCTTAGGAAGTCGCGTGCAAATTGGACTGCATTCTTTCCACCGTGGGTATTTTTTACGTCGCCCTTGCACGCGCTCTCTTTCGCCAAACTGTTTCGCGATCAACGCCTTCTGCAACTTCGATCGAGGTTTCTTCTGCTCTGAATGGAAATGTTTTGGGCTCTTGCCACTGTTGAATTTCATTGAGAGTTGCTGGGTTCGTACATCTGCTTGGTTCGTAATGCATTTTGCAATTTTCTGTTTGGCGCTGTTTGCTATGCTACATCGGTAGTGGCTGATCCAAGATTCTGTTCTTAGGTAGGTAAGTAAGTCTTGTGTATCTTACCGATACTATAATTGCGGTAATATTTAACATCGTTCGTAATTATGGTTAAATGAAAATATTTGATTTTCATTCTGAAAAGTGCAACAAGTCCCATTGATAGAAACCACGCCGACGTATAGTCGGTGGAAGAAATACAGCGAGGTCGTAAATTAGAGAATTAAATAGCGGACCGTTTGACTCTTGACCGATCTTACGACCTCGTCATATTTCTTCCTCCAACTATACACACGTATCGCACACATCAGCGTGCATTACAGGCGTTCTTAGAACGAAGAAAAACCTCTTCACACAAGTATGCACAACGAACCAACCACGTCACACAATCTCAAACAATTAACGACTACGATACATCAATTCTAAACTCTCGTACATCTTCATCTGGAATCGATAGCCCATCGGGGATACGAGTTTCAGGGAAAAAGTGTCGAAATACGCGAAATTCCTCTCGGTCCCCGAAGAAAGAGCCAGAGGCAGCGGCTGGAAACGGTTGTGTCGAGGTCTTTTTGCCGTGGATTC